AGCTCGGTGTCTGCCATGTCATCAAACCAAGACTGTACGGGCACCTGAGGCAGGGAAAAGGCAGCATAAACCTCCCGAAGGCCAGATCTTCCTTCCCTTGCCCCAGAGCCCTTGGAGCTGGCTGGGTCCTCTTGGGATGGTGTGCTCTTCTGGCCAAGTCCCAGGGTCCCCACCCCCTCCCTCTCCCATAGGGCAGGGACACCCCCAACCCCTGCAGTGGGCATCTGGGCCACTCACTGCATTCTCTGGATGGAAGATGTAAGAAGCAGGCGAGTTGTCCAAAATAAGGGTTTTCCTCAGGTCCCTTCCCAGGCGGCTGAGGTCCTTGACATAGCAGCCCTGGTGGAACACACAGGACTCACGGAATAGGCGGGCCCGGAACACCCCACACCTGTCCAGCAGATCCGTCACAGGGTCGGCATACTGGGAGGAGAGAAGACACTTGGGTTTGGTGGCAATCTGGGGACCAGCAAGGGGCTACTGGACCACCCTTGTAGCTGCCACACCTGCTCCCAGTTCTTTTCTCTCCTCCTGCCCCAGGTACCTTGGCCAGGCTGGCAGTGAAAAGAACACATTCAAAGAGCTCCCCCATCCGTCTCAGGAACTCATCCACATAAGGCCTCTTGAGCACATACACCTGAGGAAAAGCAAAGAGGCTTGTTGAAGGCATCCCTGTGAGGGTGAAGTGTCACAGGATAGGTCACTGTCACCACTTCCACAAAAAGCAGCAAGTAGGTTCAGACTCCCACACCTCGGCCCCTGGGACCCCCTGGCTGGAAGCCTTCTGGCCCACAGGCCCGAGTATTAGTATCACCTCCTCACCAGGCTTGTTGGCTCGGTGGTCCCAGCCTTGACCCAGTTCAGGAAGAAACGCATGCACCTGTCCTGGGAGCCAACTCTGTCCAGCGGCGAACCATCAGCTGCCTCCAGAAACAAGTAATCAAGAATAGGCCTCACAGGTGGAAACAGCCTATCCTGGATTACTTGAATCCAGCCACAGCCTCTGTGGGAGCTTCCTGTCCTTGGCTCTGGCAGGACAGTGTGTCCGGTCACCATCAGGCAAGGTCGCAGATAACTTCCTGAAACCTCATGCCCTCACATAGCTTCTCTGAAATGCAGCAGGGAGAAGTGACTTTTCCCCTCAATGACCTTAGACCAGGTACTCAGCAGGTTCTTGCTCTACTGCCCCCACCCATTTAGTACTCACTCCTGCTAGACAACTCTTAACACACATGTCCACCTTTCATGATCTTGTACATTTTGGCCTGAAAGATCCGTTGGCTACACGTTCCTCATCAGTCTGCATGCTACTGCTTTCCCGCCTCCAGGCTCTTACCTTCTCACATGGCCAACAGGTGCTACTAGAACCGCTCCTTCAAAGCTCCACTCACCTACGGGACTCCCCGCGTGAGTATGTACCTGCTGTGACTCTCCCTCTGGAGGCGGCCTGACCTGGCCACCAGCCCCCTCCTTTCTCTGCAGCAGCAGTCCTCCACTCCAGGGAGCCAAAGCCTGGCTCCCCATCATCTGCCATTTCTTCAACCTTCAAAAAGTTCCTCCCTCTTCCTGGCTCTTCATCAAGCCCAGCATCCCTCACCACTCTGCTGAAACTGCCTTCTTCATGCCCCCCCCTAACTAGGGATGCACAGTCTTTATCTGCCTGCTTGAAAACATGCCTTCATCTTTTCCCTGTGGGTTCTGTTCATTTCCACACCCTCAGACTGTCCAGGGCTTGGCAGAGTCCCTCAGTTAGGAGGGGGTTGGTGCTGGTGAAGACAGCCTCTGATGGACGCAGGATGGCGATGACAACCCACAGAAGCCCAAACCCCGTTCCCCTACAAGGAACTCTATTTGACCAGCTGTGCAAGCAAGTATCAGGGCTGCCAGGGCATTGTTCCTGACGGTCCCTGACTCTCAGGCCAGCTGCCATGCCTTCTGTGCAAGCGTTTGCAGTAAATGTTTTCCACTATCTATACCACATGGTCCTCAACCCTGGGCTGAGTAGGGTATGCAGGGCCAGAACCAAATCTTAGTTATTTTTATTTTATTTTTGAAAATATATTTTTATTGATTTGAGAGAGGGAGAGATTGGAACATCAATGATGAAAGAGAATCATTGACTGGCTGCCCCCTACAAGCCCCACACTGGAGATGGAGTCCACAACCTGGGCATATGCCCTTGACAGGAACTGAACCCGGGACTCTTCAGTCCACAGGCCTACGCTCCATTTGCTGAGCCACATCAGCGAGGGCGAACCTAATCTTATTTGGCTTCAAGTGCTCTTTGACAGATGTGTACTGAACACTTAATGGGGAAGAAACCAGTTTAGGGACCCAAAGGGAAGGGAGTAGGAGAAAGCTTCTTAGAGGAGATGCTTGGCTAGGGAGGAAGAAGTTCCCTAGCTAGTTGGAGACGGTAGGCATGGGGAGGAGAGAAAACAGCTAGTACTGGCTTCCTTGCCTGGATCAGGCAGAGAATCAGCTATTCAGGATTAGAGAAAATGTGATAAATTATACAATAGTGCTGGTCACAGTGGGAGGGCGGCGTGATCAATAAATGGTAACCATCTCTATGATTAAAAAATATTTAATTTCAAACAGCTTGGCTGCAAAGAGAAAAAAGGTGACAGCTAGTGGGGGATTAGGGGCTGAAATTTAAAAAAAAAATTTAAGATGAGAAAGCCTTGAGTGTGAAAAGGTGTGAAAGGTACCAATAAAAAAGAGGCTAAAGTTATAGGAAAGGGATCAACTGACGCAACACAAGCCCTGAGAAGAATGGAGGACCCCGAGCCCCTGGGGATGCATGTGGCCTAGCAGGCCACTTACCTGGTGCGTGGTCCCCTCAATCTCCACAGGCACTATGAAGTCAGCGTTGTTGATTGGCTGGAAAGGAGAAGTTAATGAGGTCAGTGACTGAGGGGTGGGAACAGATCTTAGACTCTAGGAAGCTCCTCCTGCCAGCCCACTAAGTGGTTCTCACCCCAGCACAGGATGCAGTGTCTTGTCTGGTTTTCCCTACTTACCCCTCCCCCAAAATTCTACCTGAGCTTAGAGTTTCAGGGCCTTCTTGAGTTAAACTTTTTAATAAAACAGAGCGGAGCAAGATCCTAGGCTGAGTAAAGCCCTCTTTTAGGCCTGCCCTGTACACAACCCTGGTAACGCTCTATGCTATGTGACTGGGGGCAGTGGCGGCCTGCTGGCAGTGGTGAGGGAGAGCACGGGTTCCTACTCAACATTCTTGGGTGTAGTCTCCAGATACTTGTGATGCCAGTGTGCCCAAAATTTGAGAGGGCCAGCTTGCCCCATCTGATCACTCTTCTATCATCAACGTTAGGTCTCCTCAGCCAGTGCACGAGGTAGCCTAAGATGGGGGTGGGAAGGACTCCAGGTGTCGAGTTACCTTAAAAGAGCTATGCACAAGGGTTTCATCCAAGTCAATGACCACACAGATCCTTCCTTGATCTTCCTCTGTCACCTCTGGGAGCAGGCAGGTCCCTGGGATCTAAAACCAGAGCCAGGCTCATGAGCTCTGCCACCAAGAAAGCCCAGTTGTTCATCTCAGCAGAACTCTGGGAAAGAGCTGGGCTCACTGAGACGAAAGACCCCCAACTTCAACTCGGGAGAGAGGCCTCTTGAAGGCCAAGAAGTAGGAAAAGAAGAGACAAAGTGGGCCCCTTGGCCTCAGCCTCCAACTGCACTATGAAATGATCTGCGCATTGGAGATGGGGGCCAGGGATGGAGTGGGATGGACCCAAGCCGTGCCTCCAAAATCCACAGATGGCACATGGTGGGCCCTCAGCAAACATCTGGAACAAATAGCTTCCCAGGATGGGGAGTTGGCCAGCTGGACACAGAGAGATGAGGGCATTATCCCATGGGGTGAGCTGGGATCAGGGGATCTTGGGCTTCTGAGCACGTACTGGTCAGATTCACATACCTGATAAAACTGGTACTGGAGACACTGGAGCAGGTCAGACTGCGGAGAAGAGGAGGCAGTCAGTGCCAGCCTACCCATTCCCAACCCGTCTAGCCCACTGCTTCTGCCTCAGGCCTAGAGGGTCCTCTCCCCAAGACCCCAGCCTCCTGGAAGGTACCGACATGATAAAATGGACTTTTCTTAAGGTCTGGGCAGGAAAGGCCAGAACTTCCTTTCCACATGAGGCCTGATGAAGGGTGGAGAAGATAGTCCCTGCTCTCAGTTGCCACTGCCTCAGTTAAAGCAAGGAATAGGGAATTCAGGGACACAGAGTAAGAGTCAACCAAAACTGGAATTCCTCACTGTGGTGGTTTAGCCTCTTGCTTAGTCCTTGAACCTAAGCTTCTCCTTGAGAACATGTACTGTCTATTCCCTCCTTGGGGGAGACACATAGGGGAGCAATTGAGCCTCTACAAAACAGAAGCAAGCCAACGGGAACCTACATTATGGGTCCCAAGATGGGTGGGGAGTTGGAGTGGGAGAGATCAGAATGGCTTCCCCACCTTTTGCTAATGATAAGAATGTTGTAAAAAGTAGTGTGTTCTTAATGGAAACCTCGAAGAAAAAACCCTAGCGCTTAGAAAAACTTAACTTGGCACTTCTTCCAAGTTTGTTTTAGCAGTCCCCCGCCCCCCCTCCCGTGGTATATAGTTTTGCATTCTGCTTTTTCACTTAATGTTGCAGCTCAGTTCTTTTCCATGTTATTATGAGCTCTTTGTAAAAATCAATCGCTTAGTAATACATCATGTTGTACTACTGGATAATGAAGCGATTTTTCACTGATGTACATGTCATTAGCCTGGTTTTGAGAGAGGAAGGACAGCTAGACCTTGGTGTTTCGTAAAGAAGTACCAATGGCATTGGGGGCAGAAGGATTTTTGGTCAGGGCTGTTCCTATCCTTGAAAAGCCAGACGTATTTACTGGTCATTGTGAAGATCAAAGACACCTACACATTCCCAGATGTCTCTCACATTTGGGTGAGAATGCTGAAGGGGTTATCAAGAATGTGGAAGAATTTCAATTCCTTGGTTCCCTGAAAGTCAAGTAACTTGGAAGGTAGTTTTGCATAGTAAAAAGCAAACAACAGACCCAGGACCTACAGGCAGAATAATCTGAGTTGGAACCCGACACTACCATTTATTAACCGTTAATTCTTTAGGGGCTACATGAACCCTCTGGGTCTGTTTCCACGCCTGTATGTGGGAATCTGTAAATCTCCTCACACAGGTCCTAGAATCTAGAAGGATGTGGACTGCAGGGGCCCTCAGAAAAGACAGGGACATCCGGGTGGCCCATGCCACAGGTGGGAAGCAAGAAGATGATGAACCAACTATGGGTCCATCAGAGGAAGGGCCTCTTTTCAGCCAGAGATCTTCGTGACCTCAGGCAGGGCTGCTTGTCCACTTGTTGTGGATGCATGGACTCCACTAGCAGCTCCCTCCTTCATGGCATCACAGCACCCTGCCCAGCTACCTTAGCAATGGTGTTGGCTTCCTCCTTGTATGCGGAGAGCTCAGTGCACGAGCTTGACTGGCCAACATGCTGGGCGCGAAAACAGCAGAAAAGGGCCTTGAAGATGTTACGTCCACGGGGCTTTTTAGGAGAGGACTTGGAGACCAGGCCTAGAGCAGAAGGAATGATGAAGCATTAACTACAGAGCATCTCTGTCCACAGGTACCTCCCCCCAACTCTGGTGTTGTATCCCCTCTAGTCTGTAAGCTCCACCAGGGTAACAGTATGTAGTCAGCAGTGAAATGTACATGTTTATTCCAACATCTTTTCTCTAGAGCAAAAACAGCACGAATCCCCACTTTCTGGTTTGGGAAATAGGCTACAGAAAATCTGCTCTTCATTTCCTGGGGAGGGCACTCAAAGATGGCACCAGGCATAGTAACGGTGTCCTCCTGCTCTGTCGCAGCACACGGCAGGTACCCTCAAAATTAATTCACAAAGACGAATCCTCCCTGACCAACACCTGTTCCCACAAGACTACCCATTCTAGGTAAGTAAACAGGACCCCGTCCCTTCAAGTTAGTGGAGCTGTGGTTCTGTTCAGGGTCAGCTTCCCTAGCTGCTGGGTCAGTGGCAGCAGAACTGAGCCCAGACTAGACACAGCTGACTAGAGAAGAGCCGCAGACCTGAAGAAAAAGTTAGTATGTACTTTGTTCAAACCCTTGTCTCCTCCCACACTCCAGCCACTTTTCATAATACTCCCCTCCTCTAATCCTAAACCAGAGGCAGATTAACCCCTTGGGTTGGGGTTAATCTAATGCTGGGTTCTAGTTTGAGGTCCCTGTTTCCAGACTGTTACTGTTCAGTCCTTCCTTGATAATTCAGGCTTTGGAAATACAAAGGTGTTTCCCCGCCCTCCTTATTTATTTATTACCATTTTTATTTTTTTACTAAGGTATTACATATGTATCCTTATCTCCCCATTGATCCCCAACCCCCCCACTCATGCCCTCAAAAAGATGTTTTAATGGGAGGCTTGGCAAAGCAGCCCCAGAAAGGCCAAGTTGATACAAAAAGCTATGGGCATTAAAGGATGAACCAGAAATGACTTCAGAATATAGCATCTTTTCCAAGTTCCTTTTGGTTTTTAGACCAACGGTTCTGGCAGCTGTTGATCAAGAGTAGGAAAACACTGTGGGTGCTGTGGCCAGGAGGTGGCGCCACACAGCCACGGCCAGAATGGTCCTCAGCCACAGGTCTCCTACTCCCCAGGCCTGTGTGGGCGATGGGCCTGAGATTAAACCTAACCCATTCCACTTTGAAGCACACGGTAAATTGTGCAGAAAAATAAACACTGGAAAGGCCAATGTCTTTGTGGAGGAAAAAAGGCCAAAGGGTATGTGGCACTGAAGACAACTTTCCCAGTGTTCCCTGCTGTAAGGGACGGGGAAAGCAATGCAGTGGCTACTCAGAAACTCCCCCAGGTCCTCACAGCACGCTCCGCACCACCAGAGTGGCCTGTGCAGGTGAGGTGATGGAAGAGCCATTTAACACCCAGTTATTGGGCTGCCTATGTCCCTAGAGAGGAAGGGAGAAAACCAAACTCTACTCCCCAGGACCACGGGTAGTCAGTCAGTCACATGGCAGTCAGCCCGGCCCCAGTGCCACCGATTTAACTCTGCCCCAACAGAAAGGTGGAGGGATTCCTGCAGTGCAGAGAGGGTATCCCTGGTCGGTCAGTGGGTCCCCCAAAGCTCTCTCTCTCCTCTCCCTGCGTTAGACCAGCTCCCTTGAAACTGGTATGACCATTAGAAAGCTTTTAGAAAATGATCAGGCCTCCCCAGCAATCACCCTAAAAACCTGGATATTACCGTCAAGCTTTTGACCCTGGTGGAAGAATCAAGATTTCCAGGGACTGGGGATTTTGTTAGGAAGAAAGTACACTGCGGACTTCCACCCAAGGCCTCTGTATCAAGGAGACAAACGTTAGAGCACAGCCAGCACTTAGCAGGAGGCTCCTTTGATTTTTCCTATTCACAGTAATCTATGCAGAAACCAGAGGGGAAAGACAGCTTCTCCACCTGCTTGTATGACCCACATTCAATTCCAAACCCAGGGATCCAGGCAGACGCGGACACAAAGCTCCAAGACCGAAGCTGAACCTTTGCTTTTCCTTTGGTTTATGGTTTCTTCACGCAGAACCACAGTCAGAGGCTTAACCCAGCACTGAGCCTTTCCTTAAGAGAAGCCATCAAGAACGCACTCACATCTCAGTGACAGACACTGTGAAGGCTGAGTGATCCTGAGGCTAGGAGGCGAAGGGCAGCTGGCTGGGGCCACAGAGAGGCCTCACTGGTGTCCATGGGGAGGCCCAACAGGCAGAGTGCTTCAGTCTTAGGGAACTTCTTGGCAGGTGGGGCTGGGGGCCAACTCAGCTTGGTTTGGGCTCTGCAGGGGATGAGAATCTTTCAAAAACACAATGTGACCAGGGCAGACCCTGGGCCTCAGAGACCACAAATGCCTTGACCTCGGGGCTGGTGCTCAGAGCAGGGCATAGAGTGGTGGTGCCTGGGAAGGTACCCCAGACCCATTAACAGCAAGTCAATACCCCAGACTCACTACTCTTTTCCCTGTTGGGGCCCCACTTCCTTCAGTCCTTCTCCAGGTTGTCTGTCCTCTTTACCTTTACAAACACTGCCACTAAGAATCCCTCAGGGCCTCTTCAGCCTTCTCCCAACATGGCTGTCTCCTGACAGGGCCTGCAACGGCCTCAACCCGGTTCATTCAGCAGCCTCCAGCTCTCTGTGCGGTGGGTGCTCAATAACGTTCACTGGCTGTGTGAATGACTCCGGGGCCTCTAGGCCTGTGGAACTCTTCGCTAGTTCGCAATAGCCCAGAGTTCGGTGCAGAAAGGGTGCCAGTGTGTGAGAAGATGAAGGTGGGCTCTGAAGGAGCTGAGCACCAGAGGCAAACCCCTTAGTCTTTCTGGGCCTCGGTCATGTTTACTGAGCACCGACGATGTGCGGGCCTGCGGTAAGACACTTGACATCATTACCTCATTTAATCCTCACTTAAAACCTATCTGTGGGCACTAGCCCCCATTTTCCAGAAGGGAAACTGAAGCACAGGGAGGTTAAGTAACTCACTCAAGGTTACACAGAGCAGGACAGCAGAGCCAGGATTTAAACCCAGGTCTCCTTAACCTAGGGCCCCAACAGCTCAGGGTCATCCTGTGTTTACTCCTGCCACAACTGGGAGGTCGTGGGGCACTCCCAAGAACGCTTGCTGTGTTCCTCTCTAGGCTGGGCCAGCAGAGTCGGTCTAGCCCCTCTTCTTTGCTGTCCTCTTGGGCAGGCCATGAAAAGTGCAAGGGGTAAAACAGTACGAGGCTCAGGAATTCCATTCCAGGGTTCGCCTCACCCACACCCCAGCCCTGCACCTGCTTTCCCTGGCAGTTACCTCCGGGAGATCAAGACAACGGGGGATGGGATGGGGAAGGAGCGGGAGCCAGAGTTTTGGTCCAAGACCTGCTTTGCTCAGTGGGAACACACACCAGAGTGGGATCTGAAACTTGTGTCAAAGAGCCTTTCAAAGGACTCCTGTCAGCCAGAACGCAGCATTGTGTCCCTGACAGCCAGGTGCAGGCTACCTCCCACCCTCCGTGTATGATGGGGAGGGGCACTGGCCCCTCCTCACCAGGAGGACACAAGATTTACACGCCTGTGAGGATTTCACTGCACAATTTCCCTGAGGGAGGACAGGATTCCAGTGGGTGCCATGTAGCCCCATAACCAGCTGTTCTCCCTCCTTCATCCTACTGTTACCTGTTTTGTGGATACCCAGCCCTACTCTCCCTGCTCCAAACATCTGGCTTAGGGCTGCATGTTGGAGAGAACCAGCACAGAGCTAATGGGGGCAGCTCTGGCTTAAGAAGAAAGTGTGCAAGTGACTAAGAACAGAGAAGCCAGGCCACCCCTCCAGTTAGTTCACTACTGCAAGGCCTCCTACTGAGGCAGGGTGTAAAGAGAGGGGGGGACCTGAGAGGTATCAGGACCACCTGGGTTAGGGTCCAGGCTCTGCCAGTTACTGACTCAGGCACACAGCCTCTTTAAGCCTTAGTTTCCTCATCCATTAGTTGGGATAACAGCAAGACCTGACTCCTGACTGAAATTATAAACAACACTTATTGTCTGTAATGTACTGTGCAAACTAAAGGTAAACGTTGTGCTCATTTTAGTAACTATCTAAGGAGAGATGACCACTACCTGACAACACTGAGGGCCTCACTCGACGGGGCCAACGAAAGGAAGTCAGGGGCCCTCCCACCCCGGCATGTGGTTGAAGCTCAAGAAAGTAGATGAAAGGTGACAAAGGAACTCTGATCATGAGCAGGTTTCAAAAAAGTCGAAACAACCCCTATACCTTCTCCCAAATCCACTACAAAAGTTGTTTTCCAGCTTGCAACTCTTGGGGCTATTCTGCAAATGACAGTAAAGCAGGTGAGAGGCTGTTTCACTTGAAATAAATGATGCCCTCTCCCCTGTGTCTACCACCACTGCCTCCAAGAAACACCAGATGGGGACACTTATTTGTCTGTGCCTCTTAAGAAGCCTGTGCATGTGCATGTACATGCGCACAGATGAAGACTGGCTTTGCTAGGACAATACTATTTTTAACCTCCTTCTGAAGGTCAGGTTTAGCTATCACTGTTGCCAACAATACAGCTTCGTGTCCCAGCAAAGGAATGCCTTACATATCGCCTAGGATTCAGCAGAAGACAAGCTCTCGGCCTACTGGAGGTTAACAAGCCCATTCATGTAGAAGGATGCTTTCTTGGTTCATCCCTTAGACGTACTTTATTCTCCTCCATCTCCCATCCCCCACAGAAAGGATTTAGTCTGGCTATCACCAGAAAATGGCCTCTCTGAGGGGGCCTCCCTCCCTTTAGCTATTGGAGGAAGGAGAGTATTTGGAGCATTTCCGGCCCTTCTTGGCCAGCTGCCTGGGCCCTGCAGCCAAGACACATCTGACTGGGGCTTCCCATGGAGAGGATTCCTCCCAGGTCCTCCGCAAGGGGCATCCGTGCCTTGGCTAAGGACAGGCCCTGAAGTGCCAGGTGGATGGAAATGCTCCTGGACCAGCAGGTGAGTCAGCAGGAGCCGGAGGGTGAGAGATGCCTGGACATCCCACACATA